CCAGCTTCATCTTGCAAGAAACATAGTTTGACCCCTTGCAGACTTACCCAACTTCTCAATAGCCTCGTAAGCATTCGAAGGCAGGCCACCTCCACAGGCTTTGTCGATAACATCACAGTCTACCAGCTCTGTAGAGGGAGAAGGTAGGATGAAGGTCAACTGGATGCTGGAGATGAGTGCAGGCACATGTTTAAGTTCACGAACTTCCCCTAGGGCAATGTTTTTGAACCTTATCAACTTGAAGGTGGGTGGACTTCAATTCCCAGAGTTCTGTGAGTTAAAGTCCACCCATTTTCAAGTTGTTAAACTTCAGAAACAATGTCCTGGTGAGACATCTACATCCAACGTAGCCTTTCCCATGAGCGCTGGATTTAGACCTTGGGGGGTCTAAGCTATTGGAAGCTACAATGGGTATACCTACCGTGTGTTCATAGAGCATAAGGTCATAGAACTTCTGAACATGTCAAGAAGGCCACCAAGTTGCATAGCAATCCATAATGGGGTAGGGAAGGGCATTATTTACCTTAATTTATTTTGTTAATGATTGTCAGCAGGGATGACGGCCACTGTGATCGAAGGGGGAAGACATTGGCTTAGGAGCTGGGAGCCCAGCTTTGTGTCAGACCTCCAGTCTAGAAGGTTCCCAGGGGATTCTGGCCCCATGGGGCCCTGTTCAAGGGGGTCTAGTGTGGAAGGGGCTGGCCTCGGACCAGGGAAGGGACTCAAGTTCCAGGCCTCCCTAGATGCAGAAGACATCTGGGTGACCTTGGATGGTCCTTTTCCGCCAGACTGTGGGAGAAGCCAACTGAACCCCAGCTCTTGTTGCGCCTGGTTCTGAGACCTTCTCCAGGTCCTCCACATCAGACCAACACTAGGAACAGCAGCATTTGTCGGCAGCCACAGCGTAACCTGAGAGTGTTGTCGAGACTCCCCACTACTTAGGACCCAGGGCTTCCTTCCTCCTGATCTGGGTGAACATCACCAGTTGAGGAGAGAAGCATCCACAAAACACGGCATGGGAGTGGATCCCTATTTTCCAACCGGGCAAATCCTCCCAGAGAAGTTGTGACCCCAGCCCCTCAGTTACCTTGCTCAGAGAGGGAGAGCAAGGTGCCCTTGCGAAGGTACCACTGTCCTTCTATGTTGCCCGTTACAGAGAAGGCCCAGCAGGAGCCACAGTCGCCCTGCAGAGAGAAGAAGGGACGATACAAACAGCATCAGAAAAGCTCCATCCAAGCTTTAGGGCAACCTTTCTCAACCTTAGCAACTTTTAAGATGGGTAGACTTCAACTCCCAGAATTCCCCAGCCAGCAAAGCTAGGAAAGTTGAGGTCCACCCATCTGGAAGTTGCCAAGGGTCAGAAACACCGTCCTGGGGAGAGACCTGGCCTAATTCACGGAGGATCAAGCTGTGCTGGCTGGGGAATTCTGGGAGTCGGTCCACAGGGCTTAAAGTTGCCAAGGTTGGGCACCCCTGCCCTAGATCACTTGACACGGCCCTGTCGACCGGTCGGGCATCACCACCTAGGCAGGACGAGCTCAGCCCCACCCAGGGCCCCATCTCAGAATCCATTCGTTTGTCCATGGGATTTAGCCTAAGAAGACCCACCTGGTTTTTGACCCCTGTGACGGCCCCATGGTCCCGCCAGTCCCATTCCTCAGGGAAGGAGCCATTCGGGATGGAGGCCACTTTCATTGGCCGGCCTGGTAGCTTCGCCAGCAGCGGATTCAGGTACGTGGAATGGAACTCTTCCTCTGGAAGGAGAGAAGCAGACCAGGAGTGGCAAATCCTGCCCCCAACCTCATTCTCCATTTATACAGAAGATAGAATCATAAGGCTGGACGGGATCTTGGAGGTCTTCTAGTCAACCCCCTGCTCAATCAGAAGACCCTAATGAAGGGATTAGTCCAATACACAACACACAAAGCCACAATTAAGCACATGTTCTTGATAAGACAGGACTGAAGTGAGGCTGACACCATAATTAAACTAACCCCTCTTACTGGTACTATTAGGACAATTATTATTACAGGTAGTCCTCAAATTTACGTTGCTAAGTGACACATTTGTTAAATGAGTTGTGTCCCATTATACAACCTTTCTTGCCCTGGTGGTTAAGTGAACCACTGCAATTGTTAAGTTAGTGACACAATTGTTAAGCGAATCTAGTTTCTCCACTGACTTTGCTTGTCAGAAGGTCGCAAAAGGGGATCACGTGACCCTGGGACACTGCAACCGTCATAAATGTGAGTCAGTTGCCAAGCCTCTGAACCTTGATCACGTGATCCTGGGACACTGCGACAAAGCGTGAAAAACAGTCATAAGTCCCTTTTTTTTTAGTGTTACTGTAACTTTGAACAGTCACTAAACGAACTATTGTAAGTCGGGGACTATCTGCACTCTGTTGCTTTGCATGTACACTGAGAGCTTCTGCACCAGAGAAAAATTCCTTGTGTGTCCAGTCACACTTGGCCGAATTAAGTATTCCATTCTCTTTTGTTCTATTATTTCTATTTCCATTCTATTCGCGCACGTCAACTTTTTAAGAAGTTCTGAATAGAATAGTTAACAGGCCCAAACTATGATAGGTCCACAATATACCTTTATTGGCTCTTTTGACCGAGAAATGATCCCCTGCAGATGAGACGGATAGTTTTGCATGGGACACAATTGGATCCAGGTGCAAAATGTTCCTCCGCTTTCCAAGGAACCTTTGCAATCCAGAAAAGAAACCGGAACCAAACTTCCTGCCCGCCGTACCTGTCAGGTCGCTAAATTTGGTGACTCCGTATTCTGCAGTGCCCTGGTCCAG